GAGAGGACTAAGCCACAAGCAGACAACTTTACACAGCATGAGGCTTTGGCAGAGATCCTTAAAAAGCTTTCAAAAATTGAAAAAGATTATGAATCAATTCTCTTATCGGGGGTATTAGCTCCCAACCGTTCCTGAAAGTCGTCACAGGCATCCACCAAGCCAAAAGCAGGTCTAGCTCTCTGCATACTAATAATATAAGTAAAAAGATACATAAAGATCAAGAAGGGCTAAAAAGAACAATATTAAAACAGATTAAAAAAGAACACTACATGGCTTGTAATATAGCATGCTATAATATTAATAGGCTTAAAGACAATTCACAAAAGTTTAATTTATTAATAGATTGGACAATAGAAAACATATATGATATAGTGGGGTTAGTCAAAATGAACATTTTAGAAAAAGAAGTGTTTTTTCTAAGCAAGCCATTCAAAGGTTATCATACAGTATGGTCAAGTGCTTGTCAAGAAAAAAAAAAAAAGATTCAGGTGTAGGTCTTATAATATCAGAAAGATGGAAAAAACATTTAGGGTTTATTCAGAGATTCATTACGGCAGATTTGTCAAATACCCCAAAATTTTAAAAATTTGACTGCCGATTGTGAGTCATCTAATTAACGCACATATATGTAATTACATGTAATAGACTACTTGACCTCATATATGTAATTATGTGTAATAGACTACTTGACCTCATAATTATTCTGATCTAAACTATGATATACTATACGTATAATATAAATAAAATAATATAATGATAATACATACAAATGTTTTTATCCAAAAATCATTTTTAATTTAAAATGAAGGAAATTGGTGAGGAAAATTCAAATTATCCCATGGATCGTACAATTAAATGGAAGTCACCGGAAGAAGTTTTCAATATTATATTGTAAAGGAGGGTTTCTATCCACCTAAGTCTTACCTCACTTATACCAGAATGCCAGGTCACTATCCAATTCCTGATAATTATGTTGTAGAAACAACTTACAGGAAGAACGAAAAAATAGTTACTTGTTTTATTAATTACCATGATAAAAAACCTCAATATAAAATAAAATTCGGCTTACATGAAGATGAATATATATGTTCAAATCTTTCACCAACGGCTGTAGCGAATGCCTATTTAAAAGTATATCATGAGAAAATTATGAGGGAGGAAAAAGCCAAGGATCCAAATATATATATACTTATAGTATTTGTAGTATTTGTAAAATTTTATTTAATTTTTTAACAATTTATTTTTATTAACCAGTTACAGCAATGATTACCAGATAGCAGAATGAATGGCATTTATTTATTTGGATTACAGTTAATGCAAATTAAACTAGTACGGGAAAATTCTATGAAAAAACATAAAAATGTTATTAAACCATTTGGTGATATAACAAGACAAATGCAATTTACACGAAATAAAAACTTCAGTATGAATATCTTACCCGGTATTGAAAGTCAAATAAAGCAATATTTTGCTGCGGAGGATGAGGTTACGATTAATGAACTAGTTTTTATAGTAAATAAATCGAAGGTTCGAATAATATATCAGCCTAGAGAAGATGAAGTTAATCGGCAAATGGCTATAATACAAGTTATGGATTATAATCGAATGTCAAGATCGTTGTATAGAGCTCTAGTAGCTATATGTCAAGATTTACCACGTGAATGGATCATTTCTGAAAGATTAAACCAAATTAATCAAATTATGAGTATGAATATTCTGATTTATTTAGTTGAATTACAACAATTTAAAGAGAAATTAGATACTAGTCTTGAAATACATATTATGGACCCTGATATTATTAATGGAGTTGAAAGCACAATAGGAAAGGGAGCAAGACATTCAATTAAAGATATTTTAAGGTTTCTTATACCGTCTATGATTAATAAAGGTATACTTAACTATTCAGAACAAACATTGCATATCCGTATTTCTGGGGATGGTAGAAATGTTGGACAAAAGGTTAAACATGTAATGGTAACATTTACAGTTTTAAATAAAATGAATATTTTTAAGTCAAATTCTCACTTTGCGTTGCTAATTTACCCTGGAGTAGAAAATTATAATACATTAAACGTTGCATTAGCCCCGTTAATAGCAGAATTATATGATTTTAAAACAGGATTTATTGATGAAAATGGATATAAATGAAAAATCAAACTTTATATTTCTGCAGACTGGAAGTTTCTCAGTATTTGTTTGGGACATAAATCAGCAAATAGTGCAAATTTTTGCCTTTGGTGTTCGATTGATAAGTCTCAAAATGGTATTTTAGAAATAAATAATCAGCGACAAAATAATTGGGTTATTAGCAAAAATATGGAAGAAATTAAGCAATACTATTAATCAATACCAGGACACAAACACTCTCCATTATTTCTGATGATTCCTATTTGTAACTGGATCGTAGATGAACTTCATCTAATGTTGCGAATCTTTGACTGTTTATGGACACTAATTTTAAGTGAATTACATAGTATGCAGTGTTTTAATGATCAAATACGCCAAGTAATTATTTCCAAAATAAATCATATTCAAGTTAATTTCCAATTCTGAGAAGATTACGATACTAAATCTTGGCTATATACGACATTATTAGGAAACGACAAGCTTAATATTTTAAGAAATTTTAATTTAAACATTATATTTACTCCTCAAAGAGCTACTATAATTAGAGAATTGTGGAATGGTTTTATTAATTTGTATAATGATATATATAAATTAAATATATCCGGTAGCCAATTTCATCAAAAAGCATGTCAATGGTTAAAATTGTTTTTAACCAAGTCACAGGGCAATAGAAACTCACCAGGATTTGTTCGTGGTCTTTATCGACCAACAGATATAACTCTATATATCCACGTGCTAATATATCATGTACCTGAATTTATAGATATACATCGGAATATTGGACTTTCGGCATTTTCATGTTGTGGTGTAGAAAAAAAAAATCATGATCATATTTTACATTTTTTTCAAAAATCTATGAAAGATGGTGGTACAGATGAAAATCAAAAATCAGCAATCTTTGAAATTATGGAATGTGAAAATCGATTTAATTTTTTTTATATGCAGAATATACCAACTCAATTTGAAAAAGATAACATAATTGGTGGATATTCTAACATTAAATAGAATTATAATAATAATTAAAATGCATATTATTGGTATTTGTAGTTAAAGAAATCTTTTATTATATTAATTGGACAGTGTAGTGATGGGCCTTCTGCATAATTAATAATTACTAATTATTATTAACTGTTATTCTGAGTTATTAACTAAAAATTACTTAATAATATATAGCACGCTATTTAGTATTAGTACTATGCAGGCAAAAAATATGCAATATTTCTATATATACATTTTTTAAGTAGTGCTCAGGTATGTTCTTATACTATACACTACATGGTATTTCGGGAGACAATTATTTTTTTTTTCTTGTTTGTGAAATAACAAACTTTTATTAATTATATATGGATACTAGGGTGATAAATAGACTAAGTAATCAAAACTATGTCAGGTGTATTAGTAATTTTAATATGATGAGATTTTATCAGTGAAATTAAAAATGATTGACTAAAATATCATTTTACTTCAATTAATTATAAAGAAAAGTACAAGATTCCTCTGAATATTGCATTTTTTTTTTTCTAATTTCTTTTGAGCAAAATCTCTTCATAAGAATTATCTTTAAAAAGTTATGCTCGATTTTTTGCAAAAGATCTAGTGAATTTTTTTGTTTGTTCTTATTGTATAAATTTTTTTTAATAAATTTATATATTCTATTAGATGAAGACCTAAAATTTACATATTAACATAAAATATTCAAACGTAATTTTGTTTTTTGACACTTTATAGACATTTTGTGAAAATTTCCAAGCAATTCTTTGCCTTTTTAGTGAGTTGAATCATTTTGAAATTTTTAATAAATATATTAATTTTACTGCTATATCGATATGTATCAAATGATTGTTTTCCTTTGTATAACATGAAAAATCTGCAATATATTAAATTCTATAGTTACCTTACATAGTTTTGATTACTTAGTCCATTTATCACCCTAATATGAATACACTTATTTATATTTCAACTTTTTAATAAGGTAAACATTATTAGAATTTAATTTTTGTGTTAATAAATGACAATCATAGCACACTTGTTAACCAAAATTCTAACAAGTTCGTATGTATTAATTTAGTATTAACCGAATTATAATCAATTGTTGCCAGGAATTTAGTTGTTAGAATTGTTTGTCAGGATAGTTTGTCAAGATTTTGACAAGAGTTTGACCCAAACAATTACTTACATATGCAGTAATTAAACTGCTTGTATAACAATTTTTTAACAATTACAGTCAACCCTCTCTAAATGCATGATGTCGGGACCATAGTAAAAAATTTTAAAAATATGTATTTAGAGAGGTTATGCATTTAGGGAGGTAAAAATCTATAAGTGTTATATTAGTTGGGCCCAAGAAAAGACATGCATTTAAGGAGGTTTTTCATATATATGCATTTAGGGAGGTTGCATTTAGAGAGATCCGACTGTACTAAAATTATTAACTATTATTAGCTAAATAATTGTTTTATTATTAACTAACATCTCAGATAATCCTATCACTAATTGTATATATCTTTTATTATTATAAGCATTTATTATTTGACTTGTTTTTTTAAATAACTAATTATTTAATACATAATATTTAATATTAATAAAATTGTGCTACAAGAAATTTTAAAGTAACCCAACCAGCTTCAGATTTATTTCCGCCTTCATCATTAATTATATGCTTTTGCCAAATTATAATCATTTCCGGATTCTTATTATTTAATAATACATTTGATTCAGATACCAGTACAACTTCAGATTTTTGTCCATGTTCATAAATTTGTCTTCCCCAATTTTTCTGATTAAAAATATTTGCGAGAGTATTATATGCATTAAATCCATTGAATCTGTATGTATATTTTTGCTAACAGATCGAATATCGTTTAATGTGATTTTGAAAAATAGAGACGAATTCTGATTCAGTAAGTGGTGCTGAAATTCTTTGCAACCTAGCATGGTTTGTGTGAAGTTTAAAACACGATTGAATAAGGTAGACTAGTGTATTTTTAATATCACCAATGTGAATATCTGAGAGAACTAGAAGGTTAGTAGGAGGTATATTATAGTTATAGTGCTTGAATGTCTTATAACGACACCATCCACTTTTTTTCTTGAATATTGTGTTTGGGCAAAGTGGGCATGAAAAAGATTCACTTGAGCAAATATCCACGTTCTTTGTGCTGCAATGCACTCTTTAATGGTGTATCTTGAGGCCATGATGATTTTTAAATTTCTTATTATCACAAAACAGATATAAAATACTATCAGGGTTACTATCGATCATTATATAATGTACTAATAAATTTAAAATGGGTTATCTGGATTGTACAGAAGTCTAAAATGGGTTATCTGAATTGTATATACGTGTGAAAAAATGTAAAATGGGTTATCTGAATTGTACAGAATGTAAATAGGTTTCAATAGTGAGGAAAATGGGTTAGACTCACAGAAAAATGGGTTAGACGCATTGTTATTATAGATCAGAGTGCCAATAATTTTTTTTAAGGTTCAATCATAAAAAATCAGTAATAAATTTGGTTCCCAAAACTTAAAATTGGGGACCAAAAATTAGTTAAATTTGACATAATGTTGATGAATTCAGTTTGGCAGCAAGCTTTCTTTTTAAGCAACTAGAAGTAGTCATTATAGTACTATATATACCACCGAATGATAATAGCAAAAAACAAGTCATAAGGAGAAACATTATAGAAAAATTTATAAAAAGAACACCTAACTCACACTTCGCTATTATGGGAGATTTTAATGCAATCATTGATCAGGATCTTGATAGGACTCCACCATTACAAGGCAAAAAGCTAAAAATAGATCCATTGCATAAGTGGCTGATTAAACAAAATTTTGCAGACACCTTCCGAGTATTAAATCCAATAACATCTGAGTTTACTTGGTCAAATGGCTATACAGAAACACGAATCGACCAAATTTAGGTTTCAGAAATGCTAATAGATAGCTTACAGACGGCCAATATTATAGATATGTCTACGTGCACAGAGAGTGATTATAATAGTATTGATATATTATTGGATCTTAGCTCTTTTATATCAAAAGCTAGCTCAGTGAGTGCCAAAAGAAAGAGTCAAAAAAGAACAATTTTTCTATATGATGAAGCAAGTGAAGATGACTGGGAGAACTATAGAGCAGAATTAGATAAAATGCTTAAAAACAAAGAGACAGCTTTTCAGAAACTAAGTTTAGCAACAAGAAATAAAACACCAGTATTGGATAATCTGAATGAGTGCTGGAGTGTTCTAGAAAGAAGTATTATAGAAGTAGCAAATAAAGCTATCCCAAAAAAAAAACTCCCTAACGTAGAACATATCAAAAGGCAAGAAGTAAGACGATCTAGACTGCACAAAGTAGTAGTAACACTCAGTAGATGGTTACGAAAAGCTAAAAGAAAAATCAACACAATGCTAGACTCAGAAGAAAAGGA